CTGTTTGCGTAATGCTGCACACAGCCTAAATCTCAAGTATCAACACTTTTTCCAACTTTTTATTCAATAGGAGCCAGAGTATACTGTCTGAGTTACTCATATTCCTCATAACACCTGCATGTTAAGACACGGGGCTTCATTGAGGAATTAATCTGGAAAAAAAAAAAAACAACAAAAAAACCAAGCCCTTAGATTTTTTTTTTTTCCTGGTGAGAGGGAGCTTCATTTGGATAATTTGCTAATATGTTCTGTGCTGGCGGTTGTTGGAAGAGCATGCTCCCCAAACACAATGTCAGATTCTTCCTTTTGCAGCGTCCCAGAGGGAACAAAATTTGTAGCTGGCAGGGGTGTGATAGAGTGTGAAGCGTGATGGTATGTAAAAACAACTGTGCAAATGATGACACTTAATCACGATTAAAATGAGTTAAGGTTTGAATTAAAATCAAAGAAACACAGCGAGTGCCCTTGCATGGAGAGCACAGCGGTGACGTCAGCTGGTGGCCCCTGCCCCCCCCCACATACACTCTCACAGTTTAACCCCCCCTAGGGCTCTGGCCAGAGGGTGTGGGAGGGTCCACAGCTGTCTTTGGGGCCCACTCGATCCCAGGATTACTTCTGCCAAGTGTTGAAGGGAGTGACAGATGTTTCTAGATGTGATTATTAGCTCACTGGGAAATATTTCTGAGACTCATCTCTGAGTCATGTGTGACGGGGATTTTCAACAGTGAAGATTTGTGTGCTGTGCAGTCCTCGAAACTGGTGGACCAACCAGGGCAGAGGGGTGGCTGGAGAGAACAGGGGAAGCGGAGAATGAGCCTCAGCCTTAGGCAGGAATGGCTTGATGCCTTAGTCACCTCCGGTGGAACCGTGTTACTCACATGTAACTCTTCTGAGCAACCCTCCAGCCCTCAGTGGTGGCCCGGCTGTGACACGTCGGCCTGGAGAACCCAGGGGGAGGGAAGGGGACGGTCCACAGCCCGCCCAGCCACCAACCAAGCTCTCCTGGCGTGTGAGAGTTTGCGGGCAGCTCTGTGGTTCTTGGTTCACAGCTCCATGCCTCCCCTCGGCCCAGTTCCTGCATTCCAGAAATCTGGGGCGGGGGGGCCTGATATGGAGGTCCCCATCTCTACCACTTGCTTGTCTTAGGTGACGGCCGTTGTGCACGTGGTCACACTGAGCCCAATGGAGCCCTTTGAGTAAAGACATGGTCAGCCAATCCCTCTGCACCTCGTAGAATACTTTTTGTAAAGTGCTGGTGATTGTAAATGTAGGCACTATAGTGTAAAGACATTGTACCCCAGTAAAGAGAGAATTTTTAAAGCAAAGACATCGAGCATTGTAATAGTCAGCTTTTGCTGCAAAGGTGCCATGTAACAAACTGCCCCTAGACTTGGTGGCTTCCAACAGCATTTCTTTTTCTCCTGGGTTGGCTTCAGGGATGCTACTTCAGACTGTGGGACCTGAGACTTGGCTCCAGGCTCTGGGTTGAGCTCAGGTTGGGCCCATGCGTCACATTGTGGAGCAGCAGCTTCACAGTGGTGATAGGAGCACAGGAGGAAAAGCACAAACGTGTGAAGCCCCTGCAAACTCGGCTCAGAGTCATCACGTTGTAGCTTCTACCACCATTCCATTGGCCACATCAAAGCACTTGGCCAAGCCCAAATTTCAGTGGGATGGGGAAAAAGTACCCCATCCTGTGTAGGGCACTGTTGCACGATTATGTGAACAGGGAAAGGAGGGAAGGCTTGAGGGCATTTACCCAGCCTTCTCCATAGCTCCCATGCACACCGTGGCAACGCCATGAGAAGGGATTCCAGGAAGCTCAAGGAGCTCTGAGGAGGCCTGCGTGGGAGGAGCACCGAGTGTAAAATGCATGGAGGCGTTTCCATGGCCCTCCCGTCCCATCTGGAACACAGTGGTTCATGTCCATTGCAGGTGGGGAAGGGCAGGGGCCCGACCACTTTCCCCTGGTCCCTTGCACCCTCACCTCCAAACCTCCTGGCAGCCCCCATTTTCTTCATTTCAAAAAATGGGGGGGGGGGGGGGGAGGGCCTGATCTGGAGGCCCCCATCTCCACCACTTGCTTGTCTTAGGTGTGACGGCCGTTGTGCACGTGGTCATCACTGAGCCCAACGGAGCCCTTTGAGTAAAGACATGGTCAGCCAGTCCCTCTGCATCTCGTAGAATACTTTTTGTAAAGTGCTGGTGATTGTAAATGTAGGCACTATAGTGTAAAGACATTGTACCCCAGTAAAGAGAGAATTTTTAAAGCAAAGACATCGAGCATTGTAATAGTCAGCTTTTGCTGCAAAGGTGCCATGTAACAAACTGCCCCTAGACTTGGTGGCTTCCAACAGCATTTCTTTTTCTCCTGGGTTGGCTTCAGGGATGCTACTTCAGACTGTGGGACCTGAGACTTGGCTCCAGGCTCTGGGTTGAGCTCAGGTTGGGCCCATGCGTCACATTGTGGAGCAGCAGCTTCACAGTGGTGATAGGAGCACAGGAGGAAAAGCACAAACGTGTGAAGCCCCTGCAAACTCGGCTCAGAGTCATCACGTTGTAGCTTCTACCACGATTCCTTTGGCCACATCAAAGCACTTGGCCAAGCCCAAATTTCAGTGGGATGGGGAAAAAGTACCCCATCCTGTGTAGGGCACTGTTGCACGATTATGTGAACAGGGAAAGGAGGGAAGGCTTGAGGGCATTTACCCAGCCTTCTCCATAGCTCCCATGCACACCGTGGCAACGCCATGAGAAGGGATTCCAGGAAGCTCAAGGAGCTCTGAGGAGGCCTGCGTGGGAGGAGCACCGAGTGTAAAATGCATGGAGGCGTTTCCATGGCCCTCCCGTCCCATCTGGAACACAGTGGTTCATGTCCATTGCAGGTGGGGAAGGGCAGGGGCCCGACCACTTTCCCCTGGTCCCTTGCACCCTCACCTCCAAACCTCCTGGCAGCCTTCTGTCCTTTGGAGCAGGTTCCTCTGAGCATCCCCTTCAAGTTTCAAAGATATTTTAAAAGTGACTTTCTGAAGTACTTAGCTAAAAGCACACCAAAGAATTTGAGACAACTGCTAGCAATTCTTAGTGCCAATGATGAGAAGAACGCCTGTGGCTCATCTACATTATAAAAGGCTAGTGGCCGTAACGCCGTAATGACCCAACGACCGGTCACCAGGAGGTGCATTGATGGGTCTCGTGAGATTTTGCGCGCTGGGCCTCTAGTCCTCTGGTAACTGGAGGGTGGTTCTTGTCAGGAGCTGGAGCCCATGAGCTGCTGTGTATCACAGCAGTTGTGCTTACAAGACTCGTGAGAGGCAACGGGGGTTTTGATCCAATAAGACAATGATTCGCAGTCTCGCAGACGGAGTGGCCATTGTGCGGAGGGTTGATTTCCCCTTTAAAGGGCCATGCATAGAATGCCGTGTGGGTATTTGAGAACACTCCTCATCTGCTTTCCTTTAACTGAGAAACCCAGGTTGCTTAGAGAAACAATAAAATGTGTTCCTTTGGCTAAACGTGTGAGCGGCAATGAGGAAATGACTACTTGTTGGATGGCTAGGTGTTTTCACATCCCTGGCCACGTGGAAAGGGAGAAAATCAAGTTGTCAGCCTGAAAGCTGCCCCTTTAAGAGGGTTGCATGAGAGGAGTTGTGGAGATGGCCACAGTGTGGGGACAGATAACTCTCCCGAAGCAGCGATTCTGGCTCCCAGGCCTCCCAGGGGCGGGAACCCTCACCGTTCCCGGGGTCCAGTCACGCCTCCTAGGACGTCACTGTCCCCTCGTGGCTGTCTCAGTTCTTGCTGGCTTTGTCCCCAGCTCTCAGCTTGCCCATAAAGCCTCTCTTCCTACCTGAAGCTCATTTCCCACCCTCTGTTAGTCCCTGGCCTCCTCAGCCCAGCACCGACTGCCACCCCATCCCGCCCACATGGGAACCCAGCGCACGGCCTGTGTCCAGTCACCGCAGCTCATCTGAGGTGAAGCGTGTGAGTGCAGCCCAACCACCTCTTCTTTCCTAGTTTGATGAGTGTCGATAAGAGAAGTGGATTATTGTCATGGTTATTGTTGCTGTTATTATCGGGTTTAGAATCAGTACCCGTTGCCACGAAAGTCCTCAAACGCCTGAAGTAGGGGAAGCACCGAGGGAGTGGGGTGAAATGTCCTCGAGAAGGCCCTATTTGAACGGGGTCCCGGTGAGTAGGCATTCACCAGCCTCCCAAGCCAGGGAACAGCATTTTAGGCAGAAGGAACAGCACTCACAAAGTCCACACCCGAGTCGAAGGGAAAAGATAACATTTTCTAGGTTTTCCTCTCATGGCGGAGAAAAAAATGCTGTTCCCGCCTCCGCACGAGTGACGGTGCGGTTTGATCTGCAAGCTGACGAATGCCTGGGAAAGTGCGGAAGCCTCTTCCAGTGGCAGACATCTGCCGGCTGGCGCATGCTGCATCCGGGCACTGTGCTGGGTTGTCAGAGTGCTGGGAGTACAGAGTGAGCCCACAAAGACCCTTCCTCCAGAAGCTCAGCCTATAGTCACCCCGACTGATATCCCCCAACCTCATGATCCCAGGCCCCCACGCAGATGCACGTATCAAGGGGTCGGGCATTCATAGCAATGAGCGGACTAGAGACCGACCAGCAAAGGAGTTGGTAGGACGGGTGGACGCAGACACTAGTGTTAAGTGGAGAATCGTTTGAATGGGGTCTAATGCTACAGGTGGGCAGTTCGTTCATCATTTTTCACTTTATTTCTAACGCAACCCTGTCACCTGTGGGGATGTGTGTTGTGAATACGAGGACCACAGGGCTGCCCTGTATTTCTGAATCGTAGCTGTTTCCAAAATGCAGCCCAAGGCACCCGATTCAGAGTGGCCTGGTGGGATGGACATGAACTCGAGGGTATTGGGTTCCCGGGGAGGGGAGAGGGGGCACTGAGGGTTCACTGGCACCCCCCGCCCCCCAGACTTGCCAGGTGCTCGGCTCTGACCCACCCTCCCTCCCCAGGTATGGAGAGTGCAATCACGCTGTGGCAGTTCCTGTTGCAGTTGCTGCTGGACCAGAAACATGAGCATCTGATCTGCTGGACTTCCAACGATGGTGAGTTCAAGCTCCTCAAAGCAGAAGAAGTGGCCAAGCTGTGGGGACTCCGCAAAAACAAGACGAACATGAACTACGACAAGCTGAGCAGAGCCCTGCGCTACTATTATGACAAGGTAGGCCCTTGCCCGACTGGAGGCTGTGGTGGGGAGCTGGAGCAGGGTGGGGGGCCTCCATAGTCCATGGTTGAAAGCACATAACCGTGTACTGTGAAGCAAGTTAGAAAATCAAATAGAGGCAATGTATGCAGTTTTGGTTGTTTTGGGTGTTTTTTTTTAGAAAAACGGCTATGGAGATTTTTTTTTT